TAGTCTTTAAAACAAAGGCTATAAGAATTTCTCAGAAGAGACCTTACAGGCAAGAAGGGGCTGGAAAGAGGTATTCCAAGTCATGAAATCCAAAGACCTACAACCAAGATTGCTCTATCCAGCAAAACTTTCATTTAAAATGGAAGGACAGATAAAGTGCTTCTCAAATAAGATCAAATTCAAGGAGTTCATCATCACCAAGCCCTTATTATATGAAATGTTAAAGGGACTTATCTAAGAAAAAGAAGTTAAAAAAACATGAACAGTGAAAGGACAACAAACTCACAGTTATTAACAACCACACCTAAAACAGAAGCAAACTAAAAGGATAGCTAGATCAGGAGTGGAAACATAGAAATGAAGATCTCAAGGAGGGTTAGCAACAGGGGAATGGGAGGAGGAGAAGGTACAGAAAATAAGTAGCATAGACAGTAGATAGAAAATAGATGGGGGGCAAAAATAGTATGGGAAATATAGAATCTAAAGAACTTGAGACACATGGTCATAAACTAAAGGGGGGGTAATGGTGGGGACGGGGGGTAGGGTGGAGGGGAATGAAGGGGGGAATAGAACAACTGTAACAGCATAATCAATAAAAAAAAGTGAAAAAAAAAGAAGAGACAAATAAGGACCCAGAAATTCCACCTCTGAACATTTATCCAAAGAAACCCAAAACACTAAACCAAAAAGATATATACATTCATATATTCATTGCAGCATTATTTACAGTAGCCAAGATATGGAAGCAACCTAAGTGCCCATTAACAGATGAATAGATAAAGAAGTGTTGCACATACATGATAGAATGTCACTCGGTCATAAAAAAGAATGAAATCTCACCATCTGCAACAACATGGATGAATCTAGAGGGTATTGTGCTGAGTAAGCTAAGATCAGACAGACAAACATAAATGCTATATGGTTTCATTTATATATGGAATCTAGAAAGCAACATAAGCAAACAGAACAGAAACAGACTCATAGATATAAAGAATATTTTGATGGTTGCCAGATGGGAGGGGTTTAAGAGATGAGTGAAAAGGCTGAATGGATTAAGGACAAATTCATTGTTACAAAATAGTCATGGGGATTAAAGTACAGCATAGGGAATATAGTCAATAATATTATAATAACTATGTATGGTGTCAGATAGGTACTAGATTTATTGGGATGATTACTTCATAACTTATATAAATGTCTGATCACTGGTTTTACACCTGAAACTAATATAATGTTGTACATCACCTGTAATTTAAAAATAAAAAATATTTTTAAGAATAGAACTGTTAGCCCTGACTGGGGTAGCTCAGTTGGTTGGGTGTCATCCTGCAAAACAAGAGGTTGTTAGTTTGATCCCCAGCTGGGAAACATGCTTGGGTTGTGGGCATGGGCCCCCATTGGGGAGCCAATAAGAAGCAACCAATGAATGTTTCTCTTGTGCATTGATGTTTCTCTCCCTCTGTTTCTCCCTCCCTTACCCTCTTTCTAAAAGTAAATAAATAAAATCTTTTTTTAAGAAGAAAGAACTGTTAGTTTACTATGGTCTGATGGATCTCATGGATACAAATCCCACTTGACTCTCAGGACTAGGCTTTTGGAGGCCCATCTCTCAGTTTGGTGTCTCAAAATTGGAGGCATTACATGTTCAGTTCAAATCGTTCACTCCTCAGAAAAATGTTGGGAGTTGTGACTTCTCTCCTGAATGTACCAAGGGTGAAGTTTATGGCCAGAGTGTCTCAACCTCTCCCACCCATTACGATATGGTTGTGTCATTTTGTTTTGTTTTGTTTTCATTGCCTGAGGGGTAGGAGTCATGCAGACAGTGCTTGAATTTTTTTCAGAAGGAATTATGCCATAGGTAGCTAAGATCTGGTGTGTCCATGGGAGGAGGTGACTTCAGGAGCCTCCTATGTTACCATCATGAACTGGAACTTCAAGAAATCTCATGAGATATTTACAAATAAGACAATGCTTACAACATTAAGTCCCTTCCCCAGAAACAGGCAACTAGTAGGTGGTAAAACCAGAATTTGAGGTCAGGCAGAATGACTCCTAAACATATTCTCCTGACTGCTATATTCTACCCAGCTTTCTCTACTGAGTTCTATGGTTTTATTGTTGTGGTTATCATTGTTGTTACAGAAAAACATCTTATCTTATTTTTTTAAAACTTTACTTATTTATCTTTAGAGGGGAAGGGAAGGAGGGAGAGAGAGAAATATCAATGTATGGTTGCCTCTCATGCATCCCCTGCTGGGAACTGGCCTGCAACCTGGGCATGTGCCCTGACTGGGAATTGAACCGTAATCCTTTGGTTCACAGGCCTGCACTAAATCCACTGAGCTATACCAGCCAGGATTATTATAATTAATATCAATGGGCATGTAAGAATCTCATTAATATCACATTCATTTTATATTAATCTTTGACGCAGGCAGCTGTGGGATTTCTGATCACCATATAGCATTTTTGAGCAATGCCCATCATGTTTCTTTCTAAGTGGTTTTTTTCAGTCAGGCAAAACAGAGATGACTGCCCTGTGTCATTTTTCAGGCAGCCTCCAGAGAGGTTAAAACAGAAAAACACAATAATCTGTTAATAATATCTGCTCTATTCTCTTTGCAACCAGAGACCAGAGTCCCATGCTGAGAATACAGGCTGCAGTCTTCAAGACTGTGACCAAGTTGGGGAAGTGGAAGGACAAGGGCAAGGAAAAATGTCACAAAGCTTTCATACCATTTTTAACTTGTCCTCTTATTGATTCAGCACTCATTTGTTTACTGTAAACCTTTGATTATTTCCCAGAACTCTGACAATGTTTGTTCTAACTGTTTCTACTTATTTTTTTCAATGCCCCTGTGGACATTATAGCTGCCTACTTTATCATTTGGCTGTTGTCATTCCAAAGGAGTTTTCTTAACTTTGCCACACATTGACTTACTCTCAACTCAGATGCCTCCTTCCCAACGTGAGCAAAACAGAATTCATGCTATTTTCTTACCTGCTTCTCTCTGCTGGGTTCCCTGTCTGAGAATGGTTAGAACATTCTTCAGTTACTAAAGCTAGGAGGCTTTATCTTTTCCCACTTATCTGATAGAGTGGTCGTCAATCACCAAGTCTGTTGGATGCAACGCAGCCTTTCAAGGATTCTCTGAACATTCTAGTCATCACTAACTCACCATTTCTACAGGTTGCTGTCATCTTCCACTTTGACTATTAAAATGACTCTTGCTTAGATAGTTTGCACTTCATTTTCCCTCTCTATCTCCTATATGCATCTATTCAAAGCACTCTGTGCTTAACCCTATTTTTTTTAATCTCCTGCTTTTAGAGTCCTACACTCCTTTAGAACAAGGACTGTTTGTATTCAGCCCTGCAAGCGTGTCCAGCATATAGCAAGAGCCAGACAAATGATTCTTGAATGTCTAAAACTGACCCACAATACTATCCTTCAAAATGTTATGATATAATATATTAGGCATAATAAAATCAACCATCAAAATGTCCTTATATGTGTATAAACATACAGATATACATATAAATTTAGAAAGTTTTAAAACTGAATTCACTTTCTTGCTTCTTATTTCTGATTTTGAAAATCTTACCCTTTATTCAAGATCTATTTCATTTCTTACCTCCTCAAACACCTACCCATCAAATATACATCTGTCAACTTGGTACTGAATCATACAAAAATCTGAAGTCCCTGATATTATTCATAATTCTCCCCTTATCAAAAAAGAAAGGGATATGCAAATGTTAGGATAGATCTATACCATGTTGCTAATCAATGCTATTAATGCAATGCATTGCCACTAATGCTCCCAGCCCAAGTTATTCATCATTGATATGCTTAATAATATGCTATTTTATGTTGGCTATAATTAGATATTATTTTGTGAGTATTGTCTCCCCATTATATTTTTATCTCCCCAAAGGTAAAAAACCTTCATTCAACCAGTTTTCTATTAACCAAAACCCACAGTTCAAACAGATATACAATACATATTTTCCCAACATAAATGTTTATAGGTTGTACAATGATACTTTGGTCTATAATTGAATAAGTTCATGGGAAGAGTGGTACTATGCCAGAATGTACTTTTATTTTTGCATTTAAAGTTTTGATAGAATGTTCTTATGCATGGAGAAATCATAGTCTAAATGACAATATTAAGGGAACAATGTACTCTTCTCTTCCTGAGGAACCTGGATGGGTGTGGAGGGGTTTCTCCATTTCACATTGTTTTCTTATTATGCTCAGAAAATGGATTTTTAATTTGGCTGACGACAACACTACACATGTGAAAAGTCTGTACAGTCATATTCAAGACAGCATTCAGAGCCACACATGTGTACATTTGTGAGCCTTCCCTTTGAAAATAAAGAAGGAAAGGAGGCTTAACGTGAAGTCACTTGTTTTGTACTCTATCTCCCACATTGCCTAGGATTAAAAAGTGTTCAAGTTTTCTCTCTGCAACTAAGCAGACTCAATTTACATGCATATTACACAGCTATCTCTCCCCATATAAGTACCTATTTGCCAAGGAATACAAAAGACTACATTTTGCTTTACGGTTTCTAATATTCTATTATCATATATCACCCACAGGGAGGTAGTAGGTTCCAAGTTCTCAAATACTTAGTGAATTGAGTTGAGGTTGCTGAATGAGACCTTGGCAATTCAAAGAGGAGAAATGAAGGGAAATAAAGGAGAGGGACTTCATGAAACTGTCATGACAGCACAAAGAGTTTGGGACCAAGGCTTTCAAACCCAAGAGTATCTTGCTTGCCTTACTATATCTCAGGTCCCTGGCATCTACAAGGCTTGACTTTGAGGCTTCAAGGCTGCTATGGAACAGTGTAATTTTATTGTCTGGCAGGAAATCGTTTAACACAGGAACATGGGGAACGTTCTGATCAGAACAATGTTGTCCTAGGCAGAGTCACTATAACAACCAAAGAAAAGGAAATAACAATTACTAAAGAAGTACTGTGCTTTAGTTTGCCTCATTATTTGCAGGAACTAAATCTTCAAATATTTTATTAATTGTCTCTACTGCTTCATAGGAATTAGATGATCCATGTACAGCATTTCTCAAAACACTTCTTCCAAATCTGGCTCGGATGGAGTTTGGGGACAATAGTTTTGCTTCATCTGGGTCTGTGGGACCCATCAATCGTCTCCATTCTGAAACAGCATTCCACCTGGTCAGAGCCATGACCACAGATGGACCCCTGCAAAAAACGATGCTTTCAGAAGACTTGGGCTATTTGCAACTGTACAAATTGCATACATGGCTAAAGACAGAACACCACAGGTTCATCCAGAGACCTTTTTTAAATTCTTTGTACTTCCAGTGAGATTTTGTGATTTTTTTCATTTCATTTATCCCTCTTTCAACAGTTTCTGTATGTGCGACTAAAAATATGTTGTGGTTTAATTCTAGGGACATGTGCCAGACACTGTTCAAGTACTTTCAGTGTATTAATTATTTATTCTTCACAACAAACCTATGAGGTAGGCAATATTATTATCCCCATTTTACATATAGAAAACTAAGACACAGATGAATTTTGTTGGTAACAGAGATTTAAACTCAAATAGCCTCTATATCTAATGTGAAGACCTAAATAAAAAAGAGAAAGGAAATAAGGAAGGAAGGGAAAGGAAAAAAGAAATAAGGAGAGGCAGAAGGAAGGGGAGAAAGGTAAGAAAAGAAAAAAATAGAAAAAAATGAGCCCCAAATATTAAGTTGTCTGTTCATGAATTCGATTAATGGAATGTTTTAATTAATTTTTATATTTTTCAGTTTCTACAATGAACATTTGCTACTTAATAATGAAAAGAAATATATATCAGAAACTTACTCATATAGTGTTTCCAGTACATCTTTATAAAAGTCTTTTTTTACAATTTTAAAATAAATTGTGTCTGCTTGCTCTTTTGTTAGTAGCATTTCCTTCACCTGTGTCATATCAAATCCAGCCTCTTTAATAAGGTTGAAGATCTCCTCTAGGGAAAACATATATTTGCTAATCATAGAGATTGCCTCCATTTCTGTTCCATATTCAAGCAGATTAAAATAACTAAGGAGAGTAATAATTTTATTGCATGACTGTGATTAAAAAAAAAGCTATGCTAAACTTCAGAACTTAAAAAGCACCAGACTAACATTGAGAAGAACTTTAACATGTTATTATAGATGTTCAGTCCCTGAGATTCATCTTTCCAGAAACCACCCGAAATGTCTGATGGACTACAGAAGTGGGAGAGGAGATCTGCTCCTATGCTACACATGAAGACTTGTTTTGTCTCCATGCTGCAAATGCCAAGGAACTTCTTGCTAGAGGTGGATTGGAGGTGAGAGCTAATCTGAACTCTTCTCCCTGAAATATAAGGGCACAACTGAGGGAATTAAATAAAGCATGTCTTGTTAAAATCTCACCAACAGCCTAAACTCTGGTGGCTACATTCTGCAGAGGAAGGGGTTCATTATTCTTTCAACTTTTCTGTTTGAAAAATTTCACTCAATTTGGAAATATGTATACAATGGCTTTTATTTTTAAATATGTACCTCTTTGTTCATGTGTTACATGAGATTTAATCAGTGCTAAAGTGGTTTGAGGAGGAAAGAAATACTGTATTTCTCTTTCAGCAGCTTCTAATGAGTCACTTCCATACAACTGGTTGACAGGCAAACTTCCTGTTGCAAATTGTATGCATAAACTTTGGAAAAGAAATCAAGTTAAAAACTGTTTAACATAACATAACATAACATAATGTAACATAACATAACATAACGTAACATAACAATATAATACTATTTATATAAATTGTTTAAAAATTACCAAGCAATAGTAACTCATCCCTGACCTAGGCATAGTAGAAAAGGAAGTAATTGCTGAGTACTTGGGGCATGCTATTTCATTCTAAGGATATAGTAGTCTTTAGGAAGAAAGGCCATGGACATTTAAATAATCCTGATCTTGGATACTGACAGACAGCTGTGAATAGAGGAATGGATGCCCTGGCCCAGTGACAGAATCTTGATCCCACTATTTTCTAGCTATGTGATACTACTTCTCTGTGCATTAGTTGTCTCCCATATAAAAATGATAATAAAACTTGTTTTGGAAAGTGATTCTGAGGGTGTAATCAGATGATGTATTTGAAATACACTGTACAGGTTAAGCTCTCAATAAATATTCTTTTTCCTTCTTTTACCACTACTATAAAAAAAAGCACTAGAGAGGGCATTTCACTCTACACCTAAGATACCAAACTATCAACTTTAAATCCAAGTGAAACTATGATGGAACCCTCCTGGTAAGCAAGAGCAGCAACAAAAGAGGAGCCCAGGTATGGCTATGACTGCAGTTAAAAAACTGCTGTGCAGAGGGAAATGGCCCAAAGCAGAACTCACTTCCTTGGGGTCCTGGTGCCTGATTAATCAGCCCCTGAGTGTTCTGCTTGTGGAGGTGATTGAGTGATGCTCTGGCAGGGTCTGAAGCTGTGCACCAGGTATGCTTGCTCTGCGCCTCCTGGTAGACACAGGCCACGATCAGCTTGCAGGTCCAGCCAAGCTTTCTAGTGGCCTTTGCATTAAAACAACCTTTCTTGGCTCTCACTGAAGACTTTCTTAAAATTTCCCAAAGGTTCACAAACCTCGAACAAACAGTGTCTGGCCTCAGCATGCCCCATACCTCTTGCACAGTGGCCCCAGACCCAGCACTCATGGCAGCCAGACTCAATTCTCAGTTTGCCATTTCTGGGCACCTCCAAGTCCAACACAAGGAGCAGCCACGTACAGATCACTCTGTAGTTTATCCTGGGTGGCTCTAGAGCAGGGTATAGGCAACAGCTGATCTTGGCCTGCATCTTCCAGGAGGCTCAGGGTGCATACACATTTATATAAGTGATGTTTCATAAGTACTGTTATTTATTGTGTAAATATGTGTCAAGCTTGCTCTGCCTAATAGAGCACCTCTATTCTTGCTCACTTGAAGGCAGAGCCTTTCTTCCCCTAAACTGAATTCTTCAATTAAATATGGGCACAAAGAATTCAAGCTAATTGCACTTCAGTTAGTTTCTATCAGCCACATCCCAAGAATGGGGATGCATGAGATACTATCCCCATCCTCTAGGTGATAGTGAGTCTGACAGTTAAGATAAAAAAAATTTATAAAGTGCCCCGTATGTGCCAGGTACTATATCTTGTGTTAAATTGATTACAAAGTTTAGCTATAATCTCAGGTTTATCAGGTAAATGAATTTAGTAATGGTTCTTACCAAATTATAGACTACACATCAAGTTAATTACAATCATCTTGAAAAGATGATCAACTAAATAACCTTCAGCTGCCATCATGTCCATCTCAAAAGAATTTCTCCCAAACCATGGATACAGTAGTTATTTCTGCCAAAAGCTGGCCTTTGGACTGGGTATGCCTCACTTATTTCACAGCTCCAAAACAAATCGCTCACAACCTTCTCTTACAAAGCTTTGGCAACATTCAGGTTGGCCCTGGGCTGGACCTCCAGAGAATAGCAGTCTACCCCTGACCCAGGAAAAGTAGCCATCCTGAGAACCTCCCCTGAGCTAAAGCTGTTTCTGTACTCTATATCAAAAGAAAATTATAATGGCTCCCCTGATAATATTTGGGGATCCATGATATGAATCCTACCTCTCTGGAAGAAAGCCTTTTGCTTCTTCAACAGTGCTTGGTCCAATTAACTTTTTCCAGTGTTGTAAACCATTGTCTCTTAATAAAACAAGGGCTAGAGATGGACCACTGTTAAAAATGAAAAAAAACAAGCTAATAAAAATACGACTCAGCAGCTAATTATACATAGATAATACAAGTGTATTTGTAAGTGGAATATAAAATGTCAAAATAATCCTTTTATGAAGAGGCTGAAATTAATTTCTGTTGGTGTATTCTTAAGAGCATATTTATAAAATTTTTGGATGAAAGCAGAAATGAAGGGAAAAGAAAGGTCTTGGTTCTAATAGAGTAGTTTCTGTATAGTTCCTATACTCCTGCTGATTTATATACTCTCGCTGAATTTCTACCTAAGCTTCTATTTCACTCACTCTTTTAGAAACCTGAGAGATTCCTAGCATCACGTGCCTCTCTTAGAACTCATGATCTTTAGGATTGCAAAAGTCCTTGAGAGTCGGTCAGTCCTGTTTGGACTTAATGTTGTTGTACACCCTGAATTTCTGGCATTCAACTCAAGCAGACTTCAGCAACTTCACCTGGGATATTTCCATTACCCCAATAACATTCCAGGAGGACCAGAGAAGGCAGACAGGTGAGCAGAGTATCAACATGGGAAAGAAACTGGCAAAAATGCAGACTCAGCACTTATTTACAGAATTGAAAAGTGTGGCGACTTGAGCAGAAAACAAGGTTAAAAGAAGATTTATATGATTCAAAAGTAAATCAGGGTGTGCATTCTACAGCAGAAATCTACTTTACCTGGTCATGTTTTCTATAAGATTTCTAAAATAATCTTCATTTTCATATTCCTTGCACAATGTCTGTGCTTCTTCTTTTGATAATACTATTTGTCTCTGCATCAGTATGTTAAAGCCTTCAACTTGAATAATATTCAAAACATCCTCTAAATAAAAAGTCACATAAGTTTTAAATTGCTAGGTTATTTTTATACACATAATATAGAATATATTACCTGAAACTAACAAGAAACTATTATAGCAAAGTTGCAAGTTATAAATAATATACAAAAGTTAATGATTTCTCTATACACTAATAATAAACATTGGAATTTGAAATTTAAAACAACACTATTTACATTAGTACATTAGTATTACAAATATATTAAAAGAAAAATATTTGCAAAACATGTATACTAATTACATTACTATTTCAAAAAATGAAATACATGAGTAGAAATCTATCAAAATATATATAGGACTTAAATGAGAAATACTACAAACCTTTGGTGAAAAGCATCAAAGATCTTAAATAATGGGGATGCATTCATTGTTCATGGCTAGGAAGACTCAATGTTGTTAAGGTTTCAATTCTTCCCAACTTGTTCTCTAAGTTCTATACAATCCCAATCAAAAGCCCAGCAAGTTACTTCATGGATATGGATATTGACAAACTGATTCTAAAGTTTATATAGTAAAGCAAAAACCCAGAATAGCCAACTTAGTATTGAGAAAGGAAAGCAATGTTGGAGGACTAATACTACCCACTTCAAGACTGACTACAAAACTAGACAGAGATGGAAAGGCAAAACAATAGACACACAGATCAACCTAACTGAATAGAGAACCTACATATAGTCACACATAAATATGTCAACTGATCTGTGACAAATAAGCAAAGGTAATACAGTGAAGCAATAATAGCTTTTCCACAAAAGGCGATAGAACAACTAGACATAAACGTGCAAAAAAATCTAGACATACACCTTATACCTTTTGCAAAAATCCACTCAAATGGATTATAACCTTAAATATAAAACACCATACTATAAACTTTCTAAAAGGTAACAGAGGAGAAAATCTTGGTGATATTGGGTTTGGCAATGATATTTTAGTTTAAACACTAAAAGAACAATCCAAAAAAAACTGATAAGTTGAACTATATTAAAAATAAAAACTTTTCAGTCAAAGACCTTGTTCAACAACCACAGATTAAAAACTTAGAAAAATATTTGCAAATACTACATATATGAATATATAAAGGACATGGTCACAATATACAAAGAACCGATAGCTCAACAGATACAAACAACTCACTTAAGAAATGGGCAACGCCGTGGCTGGTGTAGCTCAGTGGACTGAGCATGGGCCTGCGAACCAAAGGATCATGGTTTGATTCCCAGTCAGGGCACATTCCTGGGTTGCAGGCTAGTTCCCAGCAGGGGACACATGAGAGGCAACCATACATTGATACATTTCTCTCCCTTTCTCCTTCCCTTCCCCTATAAAGATAACTAAATTAAAAAAAAGAAATGGGCAAAAATCTGAAGAGATAGCTCAACAAAGGAGATACAGAAATAGAAGTTACCATATGAAAAGATGCTCAGCATCATATGTCATTAGGAAATTGTAAATCAAGACAACAGTGAGATACCATTTTATACTTATTAAAATAGAATAATTCTAAACAATGACCTGTATAGCACCAGGAACTCCCATTAATTGCTGTTTGAAATTGAAAATGCAACAGCCACTATGGAAGGCCTTTGACAGTGTCTTACAAAACTAAACATAGTTTAACCATCCGATCCAGTATCCATGCTCCAAGGTGAAATATTTACCCGGTTGAGGTGAAAACTTATGTCTACACATGTAAAACAATCATATGTTAATGGCTATAGCAGCTTTATTCATAAAAAAAACAAAAAGCAACAAAGATGTCCTTTAATAGGTAACTGGATACATTTTGGCACAGCCATAAAATGGAACATTATTCAGCAATAAAAAGAAATGAGCTAACAGGTCACAAAAAGACATGGTGGAACTGAAATGCATATTAAGTAGCTTTTAATTGGATGTAGTCCCATTTGTTTATTCTTTCTTTTATATCCCTTGCTCTAGGAGGCATATTGGTAAAAATATTGCTGTGTGGAATATTTGAAATTTTCCTGCTTATGTTCTCCTCTAGGACTTTTATGGTATTGTGACTTATATTTAAGTCTCTTATCCATCTTGAGTTTATTTTTGTGTATGGTGTAAGTTGGTGGTCAAGTTTAATTTTTTAGTATGCAGCTGTCTAGATCTCTAAAAGGGAACCAACTGTATGAGAAAATGTATTGGCCAATGATACCTCAGACAAGGGTTTGATCTGTGAAATACATAAAAAACTCACACGACTCCACACCAGGAAGATAAACAATCCAATTAAAAATGGGCAAAGGACCTGAATAGACACTTCTCCAAGGAGGACATACAGAGGGCCCAGAGACATATAAAAGGATGCTCAGCATCCCTAGCCATCAGAGAGATACAAATTAAAACCACAATTAGATATCACTTTACATCCATGAGAATGGCCAAAATAAACAAATCAGCAAACAGCAAGCGCTGGAGAGGATGTAGAGAAAAGGGAACCCTAGTGCACTTTTGGTGGGAATGCAGACTAGTGGAGCCACTGTGGAAAACAGTATGGAATTTCCTCAGAAAACTAAAAATAAAACTGCCTTTTGATACAACAACTGCACTGCTGGGGTTATACTCTAAGAGCCCTGAAACACCAATTCAAAACAACCTATGCACCTCAATGTTCATTGTAGTGCTACTTACAATTGCTGAGTGCTGGAAACAAGCTAAGTGCCCATCAGTTAATGAGTGTATAAAAAAACTGTGGTACATTTACACAATGGAATACTACACAGCAGAAAGAATTAAAGAACTCCTATCCTTCCTGACAGCATGGAAGGATGTCAGGATGGAGAGTATTATGCTAAGTGATATAAGCCAGATGGTGAAAGACAAACACCATATGATATCACCTATAAGTGAAACCTAATGAACAAAACAAACAGGAGCAAAATAGAACCAGAGACATGGAAATAAAGAACAAACTGACAATAAGCAGAGGGGAGGGGAAAGGGGCTAACGAGAGAAAGATGTGGAAGGTTCAGTTCAAGTAACATGTATAAAGGACCTGTGGACAAAGCCATCGAGGTTGGGGGAAGGACTGAATGTGGGAGGAGGGAGGGTGGGTAAGGCAGAGGGGAGTAATGTGGGGGAAATGGGGACAAGTATAACTGAACAACAAAAATAAATAAATTCTACTTACTCATCCTAAAAAAATGCATATTAAGTAAAAGAAATTTGTCTGGAAAGGCTACATACTGTGCGATTCTAACTCTCTGACATTCTAAAAAAGGCAAACTATAGAGACAGCAAAAAGATTTGTGGGTGCCTGGAGTTGGGAGGAGGATGAGAGGAATGAATAGGTGACTCTATTCTGTATAATACTGTAAAGAATACACATGATATTATGCATTTGTAAAAACCCACAGAAGTTACAAAATAAAGAACTTTAATGTAAACTATGAACTCTAGTCATTAACAATGTATCAATATCAGTTCATTAATTATAAAAATATATCACAGAAATATGTTAATAGGAGAAACTGTTAAGCAGGCATGTGGGAACTCTGTACTATCTTAATTTTCTATAAAGCTACAAGTGTTCTAATTTATAAAAATCTATCCATTTAACAAGCAAGTAAATATTAAGAAAGATTTTAAAGGCAAACAAAACATTCCAAAGAACACTCTAGGCCCAGACAGTTACACTAGTAAATTCTGATAAACATTTAAGAAAGATATATTAATTATACACTCTCTCTTCCAGAAAGTAGAAGAGGAATAACAACTCACCTCAATTTATAAGGCCTGCATTACAAGAAAACAACAAATAACCCCCATAATATAAGCACAAAAGTCCTCAACAAAATATTTAAATACCAAGTCCAGAAGTATGTAAAAAAAATACAACAACTAAATGTGGTTTATTTGGAGGATGCAAAGCAGCTTCAACATTAAAAAATCACAGTAATCGCCATATTATCAAACTCAAAGAAAAAAATTATATCAGGAGATACAGAAAAAATATTTGAGAAAATACAACATCCATTCATAAAAGAAAAATTCCAGAACTTGGAATACGTGGAGATTTCTTTAATTTGATAAAGAATATATAGCAATGCCATAATGCTTATTGGTAAAAATGGAATGTTTTCACTATAGGGTCAGGAACAAGGCAAGCCTGTCTATTCTCACCTCTCCCAGTCAGCATCAGTCAGGAAGTTCTAGCTAGTCAGAACAATGGAGCAAGCCGAAGAAATAAAGGTATACAGATTGGAAAGGAAAAGTTATAACTATCTTGATTTGCAATGATATCATTGTCTACGTCAGAAGCTCTGGGCCAAAGATTTTTGTCCCCCAAGAGTCCACATGACCATGTCATTTTTTTGTTCTTGGGGATGATGGGTGAGTGCTACTGGCATCTATTCAGTTGAGACTGAGGGTGTTGTAAACATTTTACAATGCACATGACAGCCTCCCTCAACCAAGAATTATCTAGCTCCAAATGTACATACATCTGGGATGAAGAAATTCTGGTCTCCATAGAAATGCCCAAGGAGACCACACCAAAGCTTCTAAAACTGAGTTCAGCAGGTCATATAAGGTCAATATAAAAATATTACAGTATTTTCACACACTAGCTATGAAAAAGAGTTAATAGTGTGAATTTATGGTTGTGCTCTTATTCTGCCACCATGTTCACTCTGCTATGTGAATGCAGAATTAGGAAATGACGAGAACTTTTTAAGTGTAGGCACTGTATTTATGTTTTCTCATTTACATCTGGATTTTTTAACTTACTTTTCAATTAAAGTTTGCATTCAGTATTATTCTGTATTAGAAGAAATAGACTTGATAAAGCATCTTTTTCAAATCACACTATTAATAAAGGGTTGACCTTAGCTTTGAATTAAGGCATTTCAGACATGAAAGTTTCCAATCATTATTATGTAATAATTCTTGCCACGTTAAAATTTACTCTAACAAATTGATAGGTTAGAAAATATTTTGTCAGTGCTTGAATTATAGAAATTTATTATTTACTATTGAGAAATTATTAAATTAATACTAACTAAATTTCTTACTTTAGGTAATTTTTTAAATTCTAAAATAATATCTGTTAATGTAATTACAGTAGGGTTTATTCAAATCCATGTATGAAATATTTTAACAACTTACATTTTATTTCTTACCTCCCTTTTCTCGAAAGAGATCTGGTCGAAGTAATGCCAGTATCCTTTCTAACTTTACGTTTTTAAAATTAGGAAAGAAGATATCAATAAACTTATTAACATTATCTACATTCTCTTCAATATCACAAAACTGAGATATATTTTGTCTTTCCAGATATTCTTGTAAACTGTTGAAATCAAAACATAATTTAAGATTATAAACTGAAGTTTAATAAGCATGCCAAGAAATTAAAATTGATAATATGCTCACAAATAATTTGGGGTTTAGTAAAACAAAAATATAATTTCACATAAAGATAAGTTGCATATATCACATCAAAGAATAATATATTTAATTTGATTTTTTATTGAACCAATCCACAGATCAATCAAGTGAAATCATGAATATTTGACTTCATGAGAAAATAAAAAAGACCAAAATAAAATGTTTAACTTTTTTTTTCTTTTTTCTTTGTAAAGATTTTCAGAAGGTTTCTATTTTTCCTTTTCCTTTGTCTTTGAATCAAGAGTTATTTCATCAAGAAGTACATTTCATATTTTCTAATAGGTAAGACATTTTGGTCCTTTTTTAATTGTTTATTTCCCATGTAATTGGATTATAAACAGAAAATGTGTGTGGTGAAATCTTAATTTTAAAAAATGTTGCCCTGGCTGATGTAGCTCAGTGGATTGAGCACAGGCCTTCAAATCAAAGGATTGAGGTTCCACTCTTAGTCAGAGTACATGCCTGGATTGTAGGCCAGTTCCCAGCAGGGGACACATGAGAGGCAACCATGCATTTCTCTCCTTCTCTCCTTCCCTTCCCCTCTAAAGATAAATAAGTAAAATAAAATAAAAAGATTTAAAAAAATGTGGACATCTATCAGAGGGAAGGAGTGTTGGGAACTAGATAAAAGAAGGTGAGGGGACTAAACAAAACTACAACGGGGTGGTGATAACCAGAGGGAAAGGGGTGGGGTTAGATGGAGGTAAGCAAAGTGAGGATAAATAGAGATGGAAGGAGATTTTGCTTTGGGTGATAGGCACACAGTGCAGTGTGTAGATGACTTTTGGGTGAGTTATGCACCTAAAAACTATACCTTTGAGAACCAATATCAGTCTAATAAGTTTTAAAAGCCTGTTACGGTTTTCTTTGTAAGTATATTTATACTTCATATATTATAGATTATTACATATAACTATTGAATGTGTATTTCCACTCATATATATCCTTATGTATCTTTGCCTGCTGTGTACTGAAATTTTTTACCAAGGTATTTTTGTGTGCTCCTTATTTTTCTAATACTTTCATTTTTGTATTTTTAACTGTTACATTGTTTGGGACATTTTGACTACTATATCTTCTTCATAAATGTTGCCTCTTACATCATGTTTTTTTTAATCAAGTTTAACACTTTTGATATTCAATTCTAATACATTATTTTTCCTGGCTTTTTGGTTTTTTGCCATCCCCTTAATTTTCTTTTTATTTGTGTGTTTTTTTCTAAACAATATGAATGCAGCTTTTAAAACTTTATTTTGAAAGGACAGAAAGTTTTAAGACTAGGATAATGAACTCTAAATTCACCAAAACTGTTAACATACTAGTATATCATACACAGTTCTCATTCAGATTTCACCAATTTCATAATCAGGTCTTATCTGTAGTAATTTTTTCCTATTTTGGGATTACATTTGCATGTAGTAGTCCTATCTCCCTAATCTCTCTTAATCTCCAGTGCCTCAGCTTTTTTCATCTTTCAAAACAGTGATATTTTGGAATCCAACCCAGTTGTTCTGTACACTGTTCCTCGTTTTGAATAGTTTCAAAGTCTTGGAGGGCCCAGTAGTTTCCTATTACATTCAGGTATGAACCTTTGGCAGGAATACTGCATAAATTGTGCTATACTCTTCTTGGTACATCACATTAGGAGTACATTACACCTGTTTTCCTTATTACTGGTAATATTAATATGGTTAAAGTGGTACCCCTAGTTTTCTCCACTGAAAATTTACAATTTCTACTTTGTAAATAATAAGATATCTTTGAGGACACTGTTTGAAACTATATATTTTTCACACAATAGTTTTAACACCCACTGATGATTCTTTTCTGCATTAATCATTTACTTATTTTTTAATTTAGTTTTTTTACCTTGGTTTCATAATCTCTGTATTTAATGGGATAATTAAGCTTTCCATAACTAGTAAAATAGCCATATACTTGACTATGTTCACTCCATTTTATTTTATATGTACTATTTACTTTAAATGGTATTGTCAGGGTTTTTTTTAATCTTTACCTTATTTTGCTGGCCTGAGCAAATTGCTGTTCATTCCATGTTTTTCCCCTTGTTAATGTAGCAATTATATTATACTGATTCACTGCACCAATGTGTGCTAATTTTTGCCATCTTTTACCTGCTTCCATAAACACATATATGCCAAATATTTCTTGCATTCTGACACACTATTTCTCTAAATCACACTCCATTCATCCCCTTTCTACAAATTCAAATAAGAACCTTAAAATACTTCCATTACCTTATTTATCTCATCTTTCCTCTCTCCTGTATGGGACTTTTTAACCATTTTGCCACATATACTAGGTAACTCCTAGGTGTGTTATAATTTAGGATCTATCAGAGTTCTCTTTTGTTCAAAGCGTCCTTCACTAGCTATTATATTATAACCCAAAATTATGTAATGTGCATGTGTGTTATGTGGGGCAGGGGGTATCTGTGTTCATCAATTCTAAGATTCACTGGTAACAACTGTTTCCCTTCTTTTATTATCCTCATATCAAGGTGTCATTTTTTTTTGGTTTTGTTGAGTCCTTCCTCAAACATTTTTCATGGAAAGATTACATAGGTGATATATTCCTAAGCATTCCTTGAACATCTTCCTCTGCTCCAACAGGTAAGTGATATCTTGGTTTTGTTAAGAATATAGGAGTTGGCTCTGGCAAGATAGCTCAGTTGGTTGGAACATCATTCTGCACATCCTCTGCACCAGAAGGTTGTGGTTTTGAGTCCTGGTTAGGGTACATACTTAGGTTGTGGGTTTGATCCCCAGTTGGGGCACATACAGGAGGCAACCAATCAATGTTTCTCCCTTGCACTGATGTTTCTTTCTATCTCCCTTTCTCTCTCTCTGCAATCAATTAAAAACCATATTCTTGGGTGAGGATTTAAAAAAAAGAATACAGGTGTTGGAGTCTTTTTCTCTTAGTAGTCCAATAACAAGTCGTAGTAGCCTGATAACAAGTCTTACTGCAGTCAGAGATTTTTCCTTTGTAATTCAGTTGCTGCCAACAATGGAGTTGGTGGAAGGGGTGACCTGTGGGTTGGGTTGTCTGTAGGGAAATTTTAAGCCATTAGTAAAACTAACTAAAAGCTGAGTTGCTTTATTATCACCATGCACCAGCAATTCTAAACAATGTTGGTGACAAACTACTCTTTCTTGAAAAAAACATTTTTTTCTACATGCTAAATAATTCCTGTGGTAAGTGCTGAATTTTCTTTTTTTCTTTTTAATATATTTTATTGATTATGCCATTACAGTTGTCCCATTTCACCCCCTTCATTCCCCTCCACCCTGCACACCCCCTCTCCTATCATCCCCCCTTTACTTTATGTCCATGTGTCACAAGCTCTTTAGCTTCTACATTTCCCATAATATTCTTGCCCTCCCCCCTGTCTATTTTCTACCTATCGTCTATGCTACTTATTCTGTGTACCTTCTCCCCCATTCTCCTTCTCCCACTCCCCTGTTGCTAACCCTCCATGTGATCTCCATTTCTATGGTTCTGCTCCTGATCTAGCTGTCCTCTTAGTTTGCTTTTGTTTTAGGTGTGGTTGTCAATTACTCTGAGTTTGCTGTCCTTTTACTGTTCATATTTTTATCTTCTTTTTCTTAGATAAGTCCCTTTAACATTTCATATAATAAGGGCTTGGTGATGATGAACTCCTTGAATTTGACCTTATTTGAGAAGCACTTTATCTGCCCCTCCATTCTAAATGAAAGATTAGCTGGGTAGAGCAATCTTGGGTGACATAACTTGGAATACCTTTTTCCATCCTGTTCTTGCCTGTAAGGTGTCTTTGGATAAATCAGCTGACAGTCTGATGGGAACTCCTTTGTAGGTGACTGTCCCCTTATCTCTTGCTGCTTCTAGAATTCTCTCCTTCATTTTAATCTTGGCTAATGTAATGATGATGTGCCTTGGTATGTTCCTCCTTGGGTCCAAGTTCTTTGGGACTTTCTGAGCTTCCTGGATTTCCTGGAAGTCCATTGCCTTTGCCAGATTGGGGAAATTCTCCTTTATTATTTGTTCAAATGAGTTTTCCACTTGTTGCTCTTCCTCTTCCCCTTCTGGTACCCCTATAATTCGGATGTTGGAATGTTTAAAGATGTCCTGGATGTTCCTAAGCCTCTCCTCATTGTTTTGAATTCTTGTTTCTTCATTCTTTTCTGTTTGGTCATTTTTTTCTTCCTTTTAGTCCACTCCCTTGATTTGAGTCCCAGTTTCCTTTCCATCACTATTGGTTTGCTGTGTGTTTGCCTTCATTTCAATTAGTTTAGCCTTCATTTGTTCCTCTAATTTGTGACTAAAATCAACCAGTTCTGTGAGTATCCTGATCACCAGTGTTTTGAACTGTGTGTCTGATAGGTGGCTATCTATTGGTCGCTTAAAATTATTGGCTATGGGGCTTTGAGCTGTTCTTTTTGAGCCATAATGCTTTGGTCTGTTCACGCCTGTTACATATGAGGGATGGAGCCTTAGGTGTTCACCAGCAAGGAGGGACCCAGATCGCTGGTTTGTGAAGCTCTATGTGGGGGCAGGGTCAGAGAGGGGCAATGGTGTTTGTTCTGCTCTCTCTTGAATTTTGGTCCCCTTTGCTGCTTCCCACAAGCAAACCAGCCCCCCTCGTGCTGGCTCCAGCTTGTGTGGGCCTGTGCACCCTCCAGGGCCCTGTGGGTCTCTCCAGTGAACTCTCTGAGCCTGGGAGCTTCTCCCAACACCTCGACCCTGAAAGTTTTTCCAATTGGTGCTTTTAGGCTTTAATTCCTGTCACTGGGGCCCTAGCCTTTGTGGTCTATCTCACTGCTCACTCCTTCACCTGGTTTATCTGAGTGTGAATGTGTGACTGCAGTCAGCCAGCCGCCTTGTGCCCCCACTGGGTCT